ACAGTTCAGCTGGGATCTGTCGTCTCCTGCTGCCTTGTTGTTAGCAATGCTTCTTAAGGCCCATTCAACCTCACTCCTCAGGATGTCTGGTTCTAATTCACTCACCACAATGTCAAAGCTATCCTCAATATTATTATCCTTCCTATACAGATCTTCTGTATAGTCTCCCCACCTTCTCTTATTTTCTTCAGCTTCTGTTAGGTCTTTGCCATCTTTGTTTTTGATCATGTCAATTTTTGCCTGAAATTTACCTCCAATGTTTCTAATTTGCTGGAAGAGGTCTTTTGTCCTTCCTATTCCAATGTCTTCTTCCACTTCCATGCATTGCTTGTTTAAAAATAATATATTTTGAGTGTACTTGAACCAGGAGCATGCCAGACAATTGCACTGGGGGATTTAGAGTGGCCCACAAACACTTCTAGTGGAGTTTGAATACTGTATTTCTTCAATTTTAAGACTCACTTTCCCTCTATAGTAACATCTCTTAGAATAACAGGTGTATCCTCTGTATTTTTGTTGTTGTTTGTACTGAAATTATGGCGCGTCTTAAAATCGATGACATCTTACAATGGAAGAAATATGTTGAATCAAACTCGGATATGAATACATAGTTAATAATAATGTTTTTAATGGATTTTAACTTAATGTTTTATTTACTGTGTAATGTTTTTACTTTAATATTTTGTATATTGCTGGCATCGAATTGTTGCTGTTGTAAGCCCTGAGTCCCCCCTCGGGCATAGAAAAGGACAGGATATAAATGTTTGAAATAAATAATAAATAAATATTTTTGGAACATGAATAAGTGGATAAGGGGTTTGTATTATACTCCTCTTTCCTGCTCTGGATACTGCTTGGAGTAATCAAAGTGCTGCTTTCAACTCCCTGCTCATTCACAAACAAAGACATGTGCACAGATTCACAACTGTCTTGCAATTCCCATTTGCCTCCTATTGTTTTACTCTTCAAGCATCCTGTTCAAATCCAGTAATGGTGCTAATAACATTTGCATAGGGAACGATCCTCTATATGCTAATAGTTGTCAGACAGCCGTGGCATGCTTTTCCGCTTTCTTTCTTCTCATCGCATTCTTCTATTACTTGGGGATAATTTCATTTTCATTCTTGTTGATCTTGCTGGTGGTTTAAACATTCATACGTGGCCCACGGCAGCGTAAACTGCTCATGCCTTTGAGGCTTGATTCTTCAAAGCGGGAGGAATCTGTCCCTTTTTATCTGTGGGTGTGTTGCTTCTGGATGCTGTTCATAAACATCTCACGAAAACAATCTGCTCGCTTGCCTTTACAACACCAGTCACTCTTGCCACAAACCCCGCTTTTCATCTCGCTTTCCACTCTCCCTGACCTTGCAATTTCTCACAATTGCTGCCGATCTGAAGCAAGGAGCATTAAATAAGATGTATTTCAGCAATAACGGATCTCCTTGTAATTCCCCCCCCCCCCTTTCCCTTGGCAAGGAGATACAAAAAAGAGATAAGGACAAAAAGGGAACATTTCTGTCTCAGCAATAATAACCCTGTCAATCTTTGTGTCTGGTGCTCAACAGATGGCAAAAATCTTTCCTGTTCAAGGCTGTAACGGCCAAGATTTTATTAATAGGATGATATTTGCCTTTCGCTCTGTGCAAACATGTGTGAGCTAGTATATTTGCAGGATTTTAAAATACACAACAACAACAGCAAAAATCCACAGGGATTTATGCATGCTAGCAGAAGGTTTATTATGAATGGCTTGGATTTAGCAGTGCATTCACTTACTCCATCCCATTTCTGATTCCACTGATGGATGAGCTGCAGAGATTAAAGAGAGATTGTTGAGGCAATTATAAGAAGAAAGCAAGGCAGCTGATGCTAAAGTCTCCAGACTTGACGGATTCCCGGGCTTAATTTTTGCCCAGGTCTTTATCCCAGAACCTGCTGCAACTAAATCCCTAGGCAAAAACGGTGTGATCACAGATGAATGAGCCCCTTGCCATACTGCAAAGGGCATTTTAGATGCCTCATTAATTCACCATAGTCAGTGATTGAGTTTCAAAGGGATTTGTGATCAGTGGGGGATTAAATAAACACCCCTCACAATAACGAGCCCAAGAATCTGCAATGTGCTGGAGATCGGGACTTGTTTTCTAGGCCGCGACTGGAATCATAGAATCATAAGAGTTGGAAGAGGGCCATCTAGTCCAACCCTATTCTGGGATATAGCCTACAGCAGCTGGCATTTGTGTCAGTCTGCCATCCAAGTACCAACTGAGGGTGGCCCAGATTAGCTTACAAGATCAGACAGATCTTGTGCCTTCAAGGTGTTTAAGGTTTTTCTGATGCCATAGAATCATACACTTTGAAGAGATCACCCAGCCCAACCCCTTCTGCCATGCAGGAACACCCACAAGGAGACTCCATTGGACTCTGAGGCAGCATATCACTGCAGAACACTCCTTACTGTCAGGAAGTTCTACTGTTTGAGAATATCTTTTCCTGCATTTTGAACCCACTGCTCTGTTTCCTAATCTGCAGAGCAGCAGTAAACAGCTATTACAGATTTTAATTAATTAATGTGATTTAATGTTTTAAATGTATGTAATTATTGGATTTTATTATGTATTTTATTATGTGTACATTGGAGGTATCGAATTGTTGCCTGCTGGAAGCCGCCCTGAGTCTCTCCCCCCCCGGGTACAAATATCTTAAATAAATAAATAAATAAATAAAATATTCCTCCCTCCCTTGCAAGTGTTGTTCTGCATAACAACCCTGTGATCACCAGAACCTGGCCAAAGTCATCCAAATTCCACATATGGTGGAATTGAACCCCATTTTCTCTCTCCTGATACCCCCACAGACACCTGACCAGGCGTGTAGCCGGGGGGGGGGGGAGGGGTTGAGGGGCTTCAGCCCCCCCCCCCAATTCTCAGGGTGGTCCACGAGAAGACCTTACTGGTACATTATTTAAACTGTTATGTTTATTCATATCATGATCTGATCACCATGCTCAATATATCCCATATGCATGGGGGTATTGGGGTAACAATACAAAAGGTTTGCTAGGGCAGATCCTCAGCCCCCCCTCCCCCCAAATCAAACTCGGCCACCCCCCGAATCAAACTCAGAACCCCTGAATCAAAATCCTGGCTACAGGCCTGCACCTGACCCTCAGGTTTTCCCCAACCAAGCACTCCTTAAATGGATGGATAATTGCTGAGATCCAATATTAATGCTGGCAACATGGAAGTTCCTACACTGGGTGGTGCTAGTTTGCAGACACTGGCTCTACCTGGGAGACATCAAACCAATCCTGAGTACCTGACAATGAAGAGATATCTTCCCCTTTGTATATGACAACAACAGCTTCTCCTGCTCTCATGGTGTTCAAGGGCAGCTCCTGGGAAAGGTAAAGGTTTCCCTTGACATTAAGTCTAGTCAAGTCCGACTCTGGGGGGGACTCATCTCTATTTCTAAGCTGAAGAGCTGGCGTTGTCCATAGACACCTCCAAGGTCATGTGGACAGCATGACTGCACCTTTCCACAGAAGCGGCACCTATTGATCTATTCACATTTGCATGTTTTCGAACTCCTGGGAAAAGTCTTGCAATAATATAGGTTTGGGGAATAATAAGACTGGTCTGGGGGTTCCCCAGCTGCCCTTGCATACACAACATAATGGCATTGCAGAAGGAGGTACAGGATATCTTCTTCCAGAATAGAAAGCCAGTTTGAGCATTGGGCTAACATTTTGGAAACCAGGGTTGGAATCCCTGCTCTGTTGTGGACACCCATTGGGTAGCCCTGGGCAAGCCCCACTCTCTCAGCTTCAGAAGAGGGCAAAGGTCGACTTCCTCTAAACAAATCTTGTCAAGAAAATCTCATATCTTTGTCTTAGGCCCGCCATATTTTGCCAATGACTTGAAGGCACACAACAACATCTGGGGTTCATCCCAGCGTGACCTACCTACGTGACTCTGGCCAGCGTGACTCTGGCCTGCAGGTAGAATATTGTAAAGATTGGATCCGTTAATCTGGTGAGTACAAAGCTAGGGAAGGCTGAAATAGCCTTGACACCACGCTGTCTCCTCCAGCTTGTTCTGAAATGCTGTGCCCAATCCTTGAAAGCTAACAAGGTCACCTTTCACTCTTCTGAGCAACCCACCTGTACCACAATCATAGCTTTAGACTCATGAAACAAGGCCCCGTGTTACCTGTAGATGAGCAGATTTGATATGGAAATATCTGTGGTTTCATGACATGAGCCTCAAGGCAGTAGGGAGCTTCCATATTAGTGTGATGGCTCTGGGTTTTAGTCCCAACTTTAAAAATAGTCACCTAGGCACCTGGAATGTGCATGTGGCTTCAAATTTCCTGCTGACTTACAGCAGCCTCATGAAATTCGTAGGAACTTTTTTTGGAAAGGCATCCTCAGAGGTAGTTTTGCCAGTTTGTCCCTATAAAATAAAGCCTTCGGCACCTTGTATTTGTTGACAGTCTCCCATCCAAGTGCTAACCAGAGCTGGCCCTGCTTTGCTTCTGAGATTAGGAAGGATCTGGTGATCTTATGCTATTGCAAGAGGGACCTTTTAACAACTTTGGGCCCTTCCACACAGCCATATAATCTAGAATATCAAGGCAGAATAACCCACAATATTTGCTTTGAACTTGGTCATCAGAGTCCACACTGCCATATATCCCAGTTCAAAGCAAATAATGTGGGATTTTACTCAGCTGTGTGAAAGGGGCCTTTGAGACTATAAGTGGGGTGGCTTCAGCACCTTTAAAGTTCTCACTTAGTTCAGAGTAAAACCTGGGAGAGATTCCTCACTCCACTGACATGGAAGCCACCATCCAGCACTTCAGTTGAAAGTCTTGTTTATGCTGGCCAAGTCTCTAAAGTGCAGCACGGTTGATTTGCATTCTGGTTCTCGATTGGTCACTATAGGGAGCCGTGGCTCGGGATTGGCTCCGGCGCGTTCGAGGCGTCGACGAGGTTCTTCGGTGTTGTGTTGGGTGGAGAGCGGGGCGTTGTGGGGCGAGTCGCCATGGGGCTGCCAGGTCGGGCCCTCTTCCTGCTGGCGGCCTCGGACTTTGCGCTGCAATGGGGGCTGTGGGCGGTGGCGGCCGCCTTGCGCACCGAGAAGTTCTTCGATTTGGCGGGTGAGGGGGGCACTCCCAGGGCGCAGTGGGCCCGAGAAGTGGGGGAGGGTGGGCAGACCGACGTGGCCATATACTCAATGTATGGGGCTGTTTCGAGGGGGAGGGTTGAGCCCCACGCACACCCTAGGTGATCTCCCCTATTTTGCAACCTGCGCCCTTCCTTCCAAGGTTGCACCTACACTGTAGAAGTAATGCAGTTTGACACCACTTTAACTGCCATGGCTCAACGCTGGGTAATTCTGGGAGTTGTAGTTTGGCAAAGTCAAATTGCATTACTTATAGATGCATTCCAAGTTTGTTGACTGGGACATAGAGGGCTTGGGAGAATTGCTGCTGCTGCTGCTTTTTCTTCCATTAAATTACTTTTTAAAGATTTAAAATCCCCCAAATGCCCCAGCTTACTTGGCCAACTTCTGGCTGGAGGATTCTGGGAGTTGTGGTCCAAGAGGCCAGACTTCAGGCATGGTGTTGACATTGGAAAGGATGTAGCATGTTAAGACAGCAAGTTTCCAAGGACTTCTTTTTTGTATGGTCGAAGGCTTTCATGGCTGGAATCAGGCTGTATGGCCATGTCTAGAAGCATTCTCTCCTGACGTTTTGCCTGCATCTATGGCAAGCATCCACTTCTTTTTTAAAATTTGTATCCCATTAGTACCACCCTGATGAATTATCTGTAAAATACACTTAGTCTGTATTTAGTTTTATTATTATGGGTTGAGCACCCCTTCTCTGGAATTTTAAATCTCAAATACTCCAAAGTTGTCCCCATGGGATAGGGACCCCTTGCTTTCTGAAGGTTCCATGTACGCAAACTTTGTTTCATGCACCAAGTTGAAAGTGTGGCACATAAAACCACCTTTAGGCTATGTGTGTAAGGTCCAAACATAAGTTAATTCAATGTGTTGTCAAAGGTTTTCATGGCTGGAATCACTGGGTTGCTGTGAATTTTTCCAGGATGTATGGCCATGTTCCAGAAGCATTCTCTCCTGATGTTTCACCTACATCTATGAGGAGCCCCCGGGCGCTCAGTGGGTTAAACCCCTGTGCCAGCAGGACTGAAGACCGATAGGTCACAGATTTGAATCCAAGGAGAGATGAGCTCCCTATATCAGCTCCAGCTCCTCATGCGGGGACACGAGAGAAGCCTCCCACAAGGATGGTAAGACATCAAAACATCCGGGCATCCCCTGAGCAGCGTTCTTGCAGATGGCCAATTCTCTCATACCAGAAGCGACTTGCAGTTCCTCAAGTCATTCCTGACACACACACACAACCACATCTATGGGAGGCACCCTCAGAGGTTGTGAGGTCTGCTAGAAACTAGGCAAGTGAGGTTTATGTATATGTGGAATGATGTCCAGGGTGGGAGAAAGAACTCTTGTCCACTTGAGGCAGATGTGAATGTTGCAGTTAGCCACCTTGAATAGCCTTGCAGTTTCAAAGCCTCCCACCCTGGACATTCCACAGATATATAACCCCCACTTGCCTAGTTTCCAACAGACCCCACAACCTCTGAGGATGCCTGCCATTGATGTGGGCGAAACGTCAGGAGAGAATGCTTTTGGAACTTGGCCAGATAGCTGGAAAACTCACAGCAACCCATAAGTTTAGACTTGGGTCCTATCTTCAAGATATCTTATCAAGTATTTAAAAAAATCTGAAAAAAATATCCTAAATCCCAAAGACCAAAGGGATACTCCACCTGTATTTATTGTTCAGCACATGCTTTGTTGTTATTATTATGCGGCCCATACTTATTTGTGGTCCCCTTCCAACTCCTATGATTCTAAGTAGTGCACAGACAGATGGTTCTATATGAGCCTCCTATTTTCCTTGCATTCCTCCCTTTATGGTTGTAAAAGAATGAATGCAACCTGGAAGCCAGCAGCAACAAGCCCCGCTTTGTTCAGGGTCTGTTTCCTCCTGGATGGAGCCCTTGAAGGGTTTTGAAAAACCCTGCTGTTGTGTGATTTGGGGTTGATTAAATAAGCTCTGCTTTGGCAATGGTTATTTAAAGAAGTGGCAGTCTTGTTAAGTCTGAAAAATTACACTAATCTATAACATGATTTGGAAAATATTGAAACACTGGTGCTGAGCTCTCTCCGCCTTCGCCCCATGAGTGCCTCTACATTACAAGTTGTGTGTCAGACCAATACGAATAAATGGGCGACCAGCAAAATCGTGTTCTTTCCTTGTCTATGAGGGCAATTAATCCCTTTGCTGTCTTAATGTGTTTAGAGCACATAATAGGACAGCATATTGGCAAGAGGTGTGAATGGCTAGCTATGGATGTCTAGGAGAGGTCATTTTTCTTTGCTAAAATGTGTGTGCACAGCTCAGTGGTGTAGTATTTGGATCTATGGGAGTGGATTGTCCACATGCTTGTGGATTTCAATGGCTTCTCTGTGTAGCCTGACATGGTGATTGTGAGAGTGGTCCAGCATTTCTGTGTTCTCAAATAAAATGCTGTGTCCAGGTTGGTTCATCAGGTGCTCTGCTATGGCTGACTTCTCTGGTTGAAGCACTCTGCAGTGCCTTTCATGTTCCTTGATTCGTGTTTGGGCAATGCTGCGTTGGGTGGTCCCTATGTAGACTTGTCCTCTCACTTCTGCAGGAGTCTACCGTATACCATGCAGCTGTGGACAAGTCTACATAGGGACCACTCTAACAATGCTGGACCACTCTTAACAACCACCATGTCAGACTACACAGAGAAGCCATTGAAATCCACAAGCATGTGGACAATTTCAACAGAAAGGAGGAAACCATGAAAATGAACAAAATTTGGCTACCAGTATTAAAAACCTCTAAAATTACAACAGCAAAACAACAGAGGAAAAACAATCAGGGACATCTAATCATTTCTCAACAAAAGATTGTCCCAGGCACTGCCAGGCCATCAAATGCTAATCAAGGTGGTCAGTTGAAACATTCACACTTAGCTCCAGCATACAAGAGTTCTTTGTCCCACCCTGATCATTCCACAGATATATAAACCCCTTTTCCTAGTTCCAACAGACCTCACTACCTCTGAGGATGCTTGCCATAGATGTAGGTGAAATGTCAGGAGAGAATGCCTCTAGAACATGGTCATATAGCCTGAAAAAACCTACAACAACCCTCTTAGTGTTTTGATTTTTAGACCAGTTCTTGGGGTTATTTGGAGTGCTGATTCACAAAATTGCATTGATTAGACCACAGGAGCTCTAGTTTCTTAGAGGTGGTTCTTATGGTTTTTTATAAGCAAGCAGATGAAGACTTATATATGGCATATGTTCTGTATGCCATACAATATACCATGGGGGAAACAGGCGCCATTTTTGGAATCAGCAGGTCAAATATACCCAAGAACAGGTCTAACATTTGAGGCACCAAAATGTGTGTTGGCCAGTGTTGTGTTTAATATTGCAGTCCTTTTTTGACTGATGGAGTCGATGGCAGCTGCAAATTCCTGAGCTGCCCAAAAGCCAGTTGAGCAACTTTCTTTGCTGTCACTCTTCTCTGTGCCATTCTGACCTCTACACACTGTTTCAAAAAATTCCTTATGCCATTGTGCAAGGCTGTTATGCTGGTGTAAGGAACATGTGATTGTGTCTGATGTCAGTGGGGATGATGGTTTTTCTGGGCCTGTGTCAATGGGGATGAGGGTATTTCTGGGCCTGAGTCAAGTCCAGGCCTTTCTTAGGGCCCTTCCATACAACCATATAACTCAGAATATGAAGGCAGAAAATCTCACAATATCTGCTTTGATATGGGTTATCTGAGTCCACACTGCCAAATATCCCAGTTCAAATCAGAAAATGTGGGATTTTATTCAGTTGTGTGGAAGGGGCCTGAGAGGCCCGAGGTTTGTCATGAACAGAGTGTTTCTCCTGTAGATTCCCAAGGTCAAATTCCTAGGAGAGGTCCATGGCAGTCTTTCTCTGATAAGCTCTCTTCTGGGGATGATTTGTCAGGTACAGAATTTAATGAATTTGAAGATAGAAAATAAGACTTTTGTAAACTAAGGCAAAGTTCTCAAGATTGGTGGAGGTCAGTCTGTCTGCTAGAAAAGAGAGATAAAAGATCCTTATCTGGCTGTAAGGGGAAGCAAAATGTTTTCCTTTCCGTTCATGGGACAGGAAAAGCTTTATATGATACAAGGAAAGGATTCTAGCCTAGTCTCAACAACATTGGAGTTTCATGGCAGTCTTGTTTCCAAGTGAATTTCTAGTTTCACATTTCAAGTTTTGCCAGGTTCCTGTTCTGTGCTGCCTTGTCCCCTTGGGTTATGCATCTTAGGATCTTGTGTTTTTACCTTTGTAATCTGAAGTTCATGGACTATCTGTACCCCTTGGAAAATATTGTTTCTATCATTTTTATGCGTACGGCAAGGCTGCATCCTCTCACCCAACCTTTTTAACTTGTATGCAGAACACATCATGATGTGCGGGGCTGGATGAATGCAAAGCTGGGGTGAAAATTGCTGGAAGAAACATGAACAACCTCAGATATGCAGATGACACCACTCTGATGGCCGAAAGCGAGGAGGAGCTGAGGAGCCTTCTAATCAAGGTGAAAGACGAAAGCGCAAAATCCGGGTTGCAGCTAAACATCAAAAAAACCAAGATTATGGCAACAAGAATGATTGACAACTGGAAAATAGAGGGAGAAATTGTGGAGGCCGTGACAGACTTTGTATTTCTAGGTGCAAAGATTACTGCAGATGCAGACTGCAGTCAGGAAATCAGAAGACGCTTACTTCTTGGGAGGAGAGCAATGTCCAATCTCATAAAATAGTAAAGAGTAGAGACATCAGACTGGCAACAAAGATCCGCCTAGTCAAAGCCATGGTATTCCCTGTAGTAACCTACGGATGTGAGAGCTGGACCTTAGGGAAGGCTGAGCGAAGGAAGATCGATGCTTTTGAGCTGTGGTGTTGGAGGAAAGTCCTGAGAGTGCCTTGGACTGCGAGAAGATCCAACCAGTCCATCCTCCAGGAAATAAAGCCCGACTGCTCACTGGAGGGAAAGATACTAGAGACCAAGTTGAAGTACTTTGGCCACATCATGAGGAGACAGGAAAGCCTAGAGAAGACAATTATGCTGGGGAAAGTGGAAGGCAAAAGGAAGAGGGGCCGACCAAGGGCAAGATGGATGGATGGCATCCTTGAAGTGACTGGACTGACCTTGAGGGAGCTGGGGGTGGTAACGGCCGACAGGGAGCTCTGGCGTGGGCTGGTCCATGAGGTCACGAAGAGTCGGAGACGACTGAACGAATGAACAACAACATCATTTTTATTGCTTTGCTTACATATATCCTTCAATAAACTGCTTGCTGATTTTACTGTACTAGTGTGGTGTTTAAGAACAGAGATGTTCCTGCTCTGGGATACAACACTCAATTGTTTTCATTTTAGGCCAAGTGTTCAAAAAGGAATGCCGCATTAACAGGTTGGCTGGGATCGTGGAGATTATGTGTTTTGCTAGATGAATACATTTGCTAAATGAATCCCTTCCAGAAATCATGCACGTAATGAGTTACTTTGTTGTTCTGCGCCTTCAAGTCATTTCTGACTTTTTGGATACCTTATTATGGGTTTTCTTGTCAAGATTTGTTCAGAAAGGGTTTATCGTTGCTGTTCTCTGAGGCTAAAAGAAAGCAACTTGCCCACGTTCTCCCAGTGGGTTTCCATAAGTGAGCAAGAATTTGAACCCTAGTCTCCAGAGTCCCAATCAACATCCAAACTGTTACACCACTGGCTCATATACATCATACTGGCTTATATATTTTGAAAATCAGAAGTCGGAGAATACTGATGTTCAATCACAGTTAATTGTATGCACAGGCATCTCAATGGAAGGATTTATGAGTGCTCCCAAGAGAACTATCTCTTGCCAGAGAGGAATACAAGCACTGCTAGTTGCACTCTTTTTTTAATGCCTAAAACAGACTTCTCTCTTTCTCCTCATCTTTCTTTCCTCTTCTTTTTCCCCTTCTCTAGGAAGTGGGACTTTCATTTTACTGGCACATCTCAGCCTCAGTTGGGGGAACAGCAGTCATCCTCGGCAGCAAGTCCAAACAGGGCTAGTGACTATCTGGGGTCTTAGGTAAGTTTCCAATGAAATTTTGTTTCACAGGGAGGAATTTTACCTTTTGGAATCATAGAATCATAGAGTTGGAACAGACTACAAAAACCATCCAGTCCAACCCCCTAAAGTCATTCCAGTTCATAGAAGGTGGTTACAAATATTGATATGCCAGAAGAGAAGGATCATTTGGAATATCCTGGCTGCGACTTCTGAGAGTTGAAGTCCAAAATACCTGGAGGATCAAAATTTGGGAACTACTGCTCTATGATCTCCAGAGGACTCCCTCCTCCTCTTGCAATGCCAGAGCTTGTCTGTCTCAGTATGTCCAGCTATGCAATGGGATCATAGCTATACTCTGTTCTGCTGCTTCCCTCTCACAGTGGCCGGTAAATGGCATGGATCTGCTGGGGGAGATTTACAGGAGGTAAAACATGGATTTTGGGGTAATAGAATACAAAAATTAACATAATTCTGCTACGTCTCCCTGACCCAGGATCTCAAATACATTTCTGTCTTTATTGCTGCGCAGATATGTTTGATCCTGTGCAGACAATGCTTATTGAAAAAACCAAATCAGTTGTTCAGCAAGATTTTGAACGTCACAGGCAGGGCGAGTATATTGCATATTTCCATATCCTTCCTAATCATTAGCAGAACTAATACATTATTCATAATCTTTAAAAACATACAGAATAAATTGTGCACGGTAAGAAAAATTTCCTTAATTTATACAGCTCACCATATTCTTTTTTTCTCCCTTTGATGCAGAGTTTTGATTTTTAAGTGAATACGGCTTTTCCCCATGGCTTATAATCATATCAGAAGCAGATTTTTCAACTGTTGTTAAAATTGTAAGAGCAGGTCCACCAAAAAGATGGCAACATTACCTAACGTAGCTGGTTGAAGCTAATGTAATGACATGCATCCTTGTTGATATGTTCAATTGCTTCTGTTGTTTTCAGGCTGGGTCTTTACCTCTTCCTGCGGATCTTGAAAGACGGACATGACAGGCGGTTCCATGGTATAAGAGACCAACCGGGCATATTCTTTTTTTACTGGACCTTACAAGGTGAGAATACCAGGTGATCAATGTGTGGAAAAGGAGTGGATTGGAAGCAGTGAACATGTTCTCTTCCATGCTGTTTGTGTTTCTGGGCTCAGTTATAGGCCTGGTGACCTCCAGGTGTTGTTTGATTGATATTCCTATCTGGTTTCATCAGTGATAGCACTGATGAGGACTTTTGAGAGTTGCAGTCCAATATTTCAAAGACCAAAGTGCTAAACCAGCTTTTACCAAACTTCAGATACCCCCAAAAGCCACAGCTAACAGGTCCAGTGGTTAAGAATCAGGGGGTTTGAAGTCTGAAGCATCTGGAATGCACTAAGTTTCCATAAATATCATAGATTAGGATCAAGTAGAAAGTATGGTGCCATGGATGGAGTGTTGGTCTGTGGCTGGTTTGATTTTTCACTCAGCCTTGGAAACCCTTTGGGTGACCTTGTGCAAGTTACACACTCTCAGTCTCAGAAAACCCTTTAGTAGGTTCACTTGAAGTTCACCATAGGTCAGAAATTACACGAAGGCACCCAACAATAAACTTTAGGAACTTCTTGCTTCCATCTAGGCCTGCCTGAGAATTAAAATGTGTCTCAGACACCTTGTACTTTACTTCATTTCAGGAGATCCACCAACTGAGCATGCATGCTGTCCCCACCAAGAACTATTTGGATCCCTGGTGTATATTTTCCCCTTTAGAAATGGACCACTTGAATTTCAGTGGATTTTTGATGTGCAACATCTTTAATTTCTCTTGGTCATCATTTTTCGCATGGAGCTATTTAGCCAAGTTTATGTTGATTTTCTCTTGGTGATGGCTATTCTGTTACCATTCTTCAACAAGATTAATAATGCATTTTATTATTGCATTGTATTGCATTTATCTGCTTGCTATAGTCCACTCCATGCAGTCATGCAGGCCACATGACCTTGGAGGCGTCTACGACAACGCTGGCTTTTTGGCTTAAAAATGGAGATGAGCACTACCTCCCAGAGTCAGACATGACTAGACTTAATGTTAAGGGGAAACCTTTACCTTTACTATAGTCCACTGTGGATACAACTATAACATTGGTTGGTGGTAGTGATGATAATGGTAGAATTTGGATTGGATCCAAGGTTGGAGTGGCCAGCTCACTCAAGTAGCCTTCATCACTCCTTTAGTGCTTCAGCATAATAATTTCGGAGGCCCTTGTGAATGGAGTGGGGCATGCAGGTTGAGTATTCCTTATCCAAAATTATTGGGACCAGAAGTGTTTTTGATTTTTTCAAATTTTGGAATAGCTGTATTTGCATATACAGACTTGGGAGATGAGACCCAAGTCTAAACACAACATTAATTCATGTTTTGCATGCACCTTATACACATAATTTTAACAAATTTGTGTGTGAAACAAAGTATCTGTAATATAAAACTATCAGGATGCAAAGGCATTACTATTTCAGGCGGCCATGTGGCCAGTGTTGGAGTATTTCAGATTTTGAAATTTTGGATAAGAGTTGTCCAGCCTGTAATATGAGAGATGAGAGGAAATCCCTGAAATTAAATAGAGGTCCCTTTTACCTAATGGATCCAAAGCAACTCTCCTTTATATCCTCCTATTAAACCAACAGATTATGTATTCAGGGATGGAAATTTGGCATTTTCAAGTTCTTTTAAAAATAAAGATTGGCTAGAAATGGCTGAGGAGCTAAGCTGAAAAAAGTGGGTGATGTTTGGAGAAACCATGGAAGGTAGAGGAGCTGAGTGAAGCCCTTGACAGAAACTGGGTGTGTGTACATGTGAGCAAAGCAAACCGGTTTGTACAAAATAAGCAGTTTTTCAGGTTTATAGATTTTTATGACTGTACAGTTGAGAGTAACAGAATATATATATCTTCGAAGACACGTGTGATACACAGATCAAGCGGATCCCATCAGGCTTTGACCTCATGGCCCATGAGGTCTCTTCCAACTCTGTGATTCAAAACTGGGAGTTATATATTCTGAGATAGAAAATGTAAATTCCCAGTGTAGCTGGCCAAGCACATGTTTAATAGTGCTGTTCTGTGCAAGTTTACTGAAGACTGAACTTGGTTAGTGTGCCTATTAGTATTGCATTCTCTCTCCATTGTTATTTTTCTGCAGGTGTTTGGGTGTTTATAACGCTTCTCCCCACTCTTCTGCTAAACCTGGAGAAACATGAAAAGCCTTTGGGATTCTGGGACTACCTCGGATGGAGCACCTGGGCAGTGGGCTTCATTATAGAGGCCGTGGCTGACCAACAAAAGTGGCACTTCAGAAGCAACCCTGATAATACCGTGAGTCATTACTGCTGGGAAGTTCTCTGCATTCATGAAACCATGGCAAGAGTGGGGGCACAATTGAACAAATGAAGTAACTTCCTACCATTGGATCCTTTGGGGCTTTTGTTTCTTTACAGGCAGCGGTGTCACTAATCTAGAGCCGTGGGGAAGGGAGCATCTACCCTAAGGAACTAATCTGGCAAACCCATCTCTTTTAGGTTTGGCCCTGAGGCTACCCTGAGGAAACCCTGTCATTTCTTAACACAGCTTGCATTTCCTCTGTCTTTGTTCTTCTTCTGAAAGCTACCTTTGATCAAATACCATCCTCATCCACTAAGGTGTCACACATGGTCAGATACCTCATTAACGGTCTTACTGAAGATAAAACACAGAGGCCACGGGTTTTATTTCTGTCATGTGTCTGCTCTGTAGAGGAAGGTCTTATAGTTTCTAGGAATTATTTGTCTCAGCCTGGCTGAAGAAAGTGTGGCCTGTGAGCTGAACTGATCTGTCCATAATTTTTGTAGTATCTGCCACCACATATATGCAAATACAAAGTCCTCACACAATAATCCTAATGGTGTGCCATCCCATTAGTAGGGTCTTTTAAAATGGTTGAGTAGATCTTCCAGCTTAACTACTTGCAATTATAATGTGAATTATGGATAATACTCCAATATTTGTAGACATCAACATACTCTGATTATTCCATTCCATTCGGTTGCCATTCTCAAAGGTCACGCTTGAGAACTATGCAATCGAGTTACAAACAAATCTTAATGTTTTTAATAAATTTATAATAATAATAATAAATAACTTTATTCTTATACCCCGCCACCATTTCCTCGAAGGGACTTGGGGTGGCTTACATATGGGACAAATTCCCACAGACACAAATACAAAACAGTCCATCAAAGCAAAAACACAATTAAAATAAAAACATAGTTAAATATAACAATCCAGACAAAAGCACAATTCAAGAGAACATAAGAGTATCACACAGCAGCATTAAAACTCAATCAAAGCAATACTCAACAAAACCAATTGCCAGTAGTACAATTAGCATGACCAGGCTATAAAAGGGTTGGGCATGGGATAATGCAAGTGGCATATCGTAGGGCCAGGTATTGGATGAAGTGCAGAGAACAAAATATTATTATGGAACCTAGGGACTGGGTATTCATAACAAGGGACTAGGCGTTTTCAAATGCAAGCTGAAACATTGAGGTTTTCAAATCCCTGCGAAAGGAGAACAATTGCCTAATTTCCCTTGGGAAGGAGTTTCAAAGTCAGGGGGCCACCACCAAGAAGGCCCTCTCCCTTGTCCCCACCAACGGTGCTTGTGATGGTGATGGGAGTGAGAGGAGGGCCTCCCCAGTGGATCTTAGAGCCCACACTGATTCATAGGGAGAGATGCAGTACCAAAGATAGGCAGGACCCAAACTGTTTAAGGTCATAACCTGCATTTTGCATTAGGACCAGAAACTTATTGGCAGCCGGTGAAGCTGCTTTAATAGGGGCATGATTTTGTGTTGGCCTGCATTCTGAGAGGTCATGAGCTTCAAGTGGTTGGACAAGCTATCCCTCTGGCCCCAGGTATGGCTGGCTACGCAGAACTTCCGTTAGCAAGTGCGGCATCTTTTATCAACATTTACGGTATTCTGTGGAGTTTCCAGTCTCAGCCTCTTTGCTTTCAGGCTAGCAGAATTAATTGAGCATTTAAACACCAAGTAGTGTTTGATTTTGTAGTTGTTTTTGGCTTCCCTGAAAAAGGCAGCATGATTGAGAATACATAAAGGCGTAGATACCAGCAAAACGCATGATCTGTAAAAGAAATAAAAAGATAAATAAAACTGTAACATTGCTGCTTTTGCTGTTAGTAGTAGCTTGCTGAAACAATCCACTATAGCTTTCCACCTGATGCTTGGTTGCAATTTTCACCAGGTCCATCAAGCCAGTGGAGGATGGGAGCTGTAGTCTGGCATCAGCTCAAGATGTTCGTTCCTTACGTTTAGAAACTAAATAGGTCAAGAAGGGATGCTTTTATTTCTACATCAAAATCACTTGCCTTTTTCTCAGTGGGGGAAATCTAATGAGAATATTTTATTTCTAAAGGTCACTTTGGTAAGCATGTTGCTCTGGGAAACTTAGCCAAATGAACATTAGCAACAGTTAATAGGAATACTAGTTTGGCATTGGGCACCTATATATTATTTTTTCTTTTATTTCCCCAGGGCAAGTTTATCCAGAGCGGCCTGTGGGCATATAGTCGTCACCCCAACTACCTTGGGGAGATCTTGCTGTGGACAGGACTTTTTGTGTCAGCTGCATCTGTGCTACATGGGTGGCAATATATCAGCATTGTTTCGCCATTGCTGGTGTGGTACTTGCTTAATTATGTCAGCGGGATCCCAATTCTAGAGAAAGCAGCCATGAAGAGATGGGGGAAGGAAGCAGCTTTTCAGGCTTACCTGCAGGAGACACCTGTGCTGTGGCCTATCAGATTTAGGCAGTAGCAGACAGTTGCATCTCACTCTCTGAATTTGCCTCTAGAAGGCATTGGCTACAAGGCCACCCCAACATGTGCTTGGCTTGTTCAGATCCTGGGGTCATCTAATCCCAATGGCTGGTGAATATCCATAGACTGTGCAATAAGACAGGGTGCACAAATGGCTTGCCACCTGGAGTCTGTCATGAGAGCAACCAGGATGCAACCTATGCCATGAGGCAGTCATCTCCTATGCACCTCTCCTCAGTTGACAAGATTCCAACATGATCTTTCTGCCATCACATCTATAGCATTTTCCCCTCAGTGTCCTGGAACAAAAATGTGTCTGGTATAAAACACTAATCTCAGATTAGAAGGCTCTGCTGGTCTTTTTTAGCTTCAATTACATAAAGTAGCTGGAAGGCTTTGCTCTCTTCCTGGTAAATGGGTGCCCCTTGCCTAGCTCCCTGAAGTGTTAATCCCAGTAATCCAGTGTGCTGAGAAAAGAGGAGATCATAGGCAGCAAGTTCACCTTTTGTATAAAGAAGCATGAATGTAACCTGCCGAAACAGGGTTAGTAGCAGATAACACGCCAGCTGTAACAGAAGCACTAGGGCTGCCTCCAACTTTGTGCAAGAGTCATTATTCCCTTTTGTTTTTTAATGTAAAGCCAAGCTTATAAATCCTCCAGTGTTATAAAGCTATAGTCTTCATAATTAGATTTGCTTCACTGGTTAGAAATACAACGCCCACTGAAATCTGTATACCGACTAGCACGACATATTCCTAGAAGGAGAGTATTTCTGAAGTCATTTTAAAATACTATTCTTTGGCTAAACGTATTCCTTTTCACCCAACTTTGCTATGTCAGGTGAGCTTTTGGACATTTTTGTACAAATGCCTCTAGTCAAATAATGTATTTAAAGACAACCAAGAGCAATTTCCACTTGTGAATACAGAATATCTGAAGAAGTTCAGCTGGCTACTTGTGTTTTCTTCACATCTGATTTCTGGTATTTTTTTTAAACAAATCAAGTCCTCTCTAAAGAATAACACATTTGCTTTTACTATAAAGTACACAAGGTGGTGCTAGAAAGCAGTGCCATAAACTGTAACATAGCTTCATACTTTGGAGCAAGCCTTTTCATGTTAATTTTATGAAGTACTCGACTATGATCTAAATTCTAAATTTTTAGTCAAGTCCACTGAAAATGTGAAAAATGCTAGTGAAAACCCTTCCTTCGCCCAATTCATATGTAAAACATTTAGTCTTAATTTGATTTTCTTTCAGACACTTTTAGTATTGTCTTTTTCACTCCCACACTACATTGTGTTTTGACTGCTGTTACTTTTTAATTTACCCCTAGGAACAAACTCTGTAGTGAAATTCAGTTGGTGTCAGACCTAGTTTGAATAACTGCATTCGTGTTCTTCAAGTCTAAATGGAAATTATTAGTAAATTTAGATATTTTACTCACTCCAAACTGAGTTTTTGAACAAATTAGTATCCCATAAAAGATTCCTACATGTCTGTTTATTTCTGTCTATTGAAAAAAAAACCCACTAGTACATTCATTTGATTTCTGTCCTGCCATTTTCCCAGAATAAAGAATCAAATAGTAAGTCTTTCCTTAATGCAAAGTTTTGCCTTGATTAGTATTGTAAGAGGTTATTTGTTTCCAATTCCTGCTTTTACATTAACCTTAGTTAGATGTGTTACTCAAGAAAAAGGTAAGACGGCATACAATATTTTTCAGTGTATAAAAGGGAAAGGTTTCCCCTTGCCATTAAGTCTAGTCAAGTCCGACTCTGGGAAGTGGTGCTCATCTCCATTTCTAAGTCAAAGAGCCAGTGTTGTCCGTAGACATCTAAGACATGTGGCCAGCATGACTGCATAGTGTATACTTTCAGTGTATAGCCATTATTAATTGGGATGCTCATTCATTGGGGTGGACCATAAAAGTGTACACTGCAGAGATTTGATTTTCTTACTCCAGCCTTTTGGTTGAGAATCAGGAAGGACAGTCTCCTTTCCTTTTCGTTTATTGACTTCTTTCACTGTTATAAATAACACACTCTTTTTGTGCATACATCACATCAACATATTTGGTGACTTTCATTAACTAATGCAAGACAAAGGGCCACCTAGAGTCAAGAGTAAAATACAGAAATCCTAAATTTCAGACCACCAACTTTACAGCATTTTGAGGGTTTCGAGTTAAGTTCAAATTTCGCAAATACGACTGCACTATCTAACACTTCAGATATCAGTATGAGTTCTAAAAGGATTTATTTGTGACAGGACATACAATAATATAAAATGATTTTACAAATAAGATGCACTTTTTACAAAAAGAGAAATGATAAAAGAGACCTTTGTGGAAAGAATGAGTTTTGACTGCATGTTAACAAACAGCATGTTCCCACGGAAAGGGGAGGAGGTATAAATACAAGAGTAAAATGCAAAATGAGATTGCTATGGCTACAAAGTTAGGAGTGCCTGCAATGCTCAATATGTGCTTTTACCTGCCCTGGAAATAAATAATCTAGACAAGATTTCCAAAGGAGGTGAAAATAGCTATACAGTTAAGATACTCAGTTCAAGCATGAGGTTTGCTTGCTGTTGTTCCCCATTGCTCAAGTGAAAACCTCAAACAGTCATGTGCATATGAACTAACGGGACACTGGATTTCAATTTTTCACATGACCAAGTTCTGAACGTCCATGATTTTGAAAAGTCTTTGGTTTCACTAAAAATAGACTAGGCAAAAGAGTACCAGTATAGTTTCAACATGCACTGTTTCCCAATACAAGACACCCACTTCCACAAAGGATGATAGTTGTTCTGTGAAATAAGCAGGATTACTGCTGGTGCAAAATGCATTCCCTTCTTTACAGTCACAACACACAAATGAAACAATAATGGGGTGTTTTGAACAGATGGTGGCAGCTTTACAGGTACAGAAAACTTTCCAAAAGCAACCCACCCCTTGCAGCTTCTCTACAAACATGCGGAGTTGATTATGCCAGTTACAACCATACAATAAATGTGATACAGCTCTAGATAACTTTACATTGCACATTAAAATTCAAATAAGTTGCCGTTAAATAAAAAAACATACACAATTGAGCTTAGTACACAGTGTTGCTGGGAAGAGTAAAAGCGCAACTCAAGGGTTTTATTGTAGTTTTAAGGCAGTAAGTAGAAGTTTAGAACAGGAGCATGTTTCATTTCAACATAGGAGAAGCAAAAAAGTTGCCCTGGCGTCCAAGTGTGGTTGCAGACTTGCTTTTACTTGCAAATCTAGAAAAGAAATGGAAAGACTCAGCAAGTAATATTTTTCTAAGTATGTCCTCACATTTATTTCACTAATGAGAGTATCCTGCATAATCTTGCACATCTGTAATCAGGATCTACTCTTAGCCCTGTCTTTGATCTATGTTTTCACTGTTGTTAGTATATAGTTCATATACTATTGATGTGGAAAATGTCATTTGGAAATTCTAGAGCTGAGTAGATAGGTGCAGCTCAAAACATCAGGGTTAATGCAGATAAGCTTGTGAACTTTACATGCCAAAATTCTACTCACACCAACCCTCCCCCTTGATGCTTGCATACTACCAGATGCATGGCAATCTGGACCAGTATGTTTACACTTGGTTTGGTCACTTTGAGAATGGAATATATAGGATTGTGCATTCCAGATGCCTAACAACTGTAACAGTTCATTCTTTCTTAGACCTAGTAAAATTGTCTACTGGGAGATGTGCAGTCCAGCTAGTTCCACCAGATTTCAAAATATACTTATTATATTATCATCATATAGTTTGAAAAAAGTAAAGGAATACTATAGCTAAAGCCACAGATTGCCCTTATTGCCCCTTAAACTGATTTGCCAGGGATCTGAAAGGAAAGGAAAATGTTTTGGTCACTCGAACATGGAAACAGCTACCTGACTTACTTGGGGGTAGTTCTGCTGAAAGTAGATTTGACTTTCTGTGAGAGCGAGCTGCTTGAAGGAGTCTTCACTAGTTGCTGCTCTGGAGTGGTGAGTGGTCCTAACATGCTCACTTTGTAAGAAGACAACACAGATATCACACTTCAATTATCATTCCCAATTCACATTATGAAGTAGGTCCAACATCACATATACACAATTATTATAAGAAGTCTTAAGAAACAGGTAACTTTTTATTTGTCAGGTATAAGAGAAGGGTTCTACTGGTACCATGGACTGCTAAAAAGACAAATAAATGGGCCCTAGAGGAAATCAAGCCTGAATTTTCACTAGAAGCCAAGATGACTAAACTGAGACTGTCACACTTTGGTCGTATCTTGAGAAGCCATGACACAGTAAAAAAGACAATGCTTGTTAATGCTTGGAAGGTAGTAGGAAAAGAGAAAGGCCACATTCCAGATGGATGGATTCAATCAAGGAAACCATGGCCTTGAGTCTGCAAGACCCAAGCAGGGCTATTGAGATTTTTCTTTTTAACTTAATGTTTTTACCTATTATGTAACGTTTTGTTTTATGCTGTTTGTATGTGCGGGCATTGAACAGTGCCAACTGTGCCGGTTGTAAGCCACCCTGAGACCCCCTTCGGGGGTTGAGAAGGACGGGGTACAAAGGTTTGAAATAAATAAATAAATAGATAAATAAATAAATAAATGTACTGTGGAGATCTCTCATTTACAAGATCAGAGATGGCAGTTAATAACAAAAATACCAAAAACATAAAATGACAATTTTCTGAGGCACTGAAATTATCTTCCTTGTGGTCTAAAAGAATATGCCATAGCACAAATACACAACTAACAGAGCAATCCTTTTATATTTGCAGGGATTAAGGACCCAGGGTCCCCACGAAAGTGGAAACACTGTGAATATAAATAAAAATTAAAATCTTTTTAAATACTTGAGATAACCCTTCTCTAGGTATTTGTTGGTTCTCCAGCATGAATAATACTGGATGAACAAATAAAGAGAATATATATTTTCAATCAAGTGTAGGATAGCAGCGGGGTGGCAGCAAAATACAACAATCTGAACAATCAAATCCATGAATGTTTAATTCTCAAATGTGAACGGCGGACTATACTCAGATTGACTATTAAGCTCTTAGTAACCATTAGGGAGCATGAGGTGCCTCAGAGAACCTGCAGGAACACCCCCCCCCCCCAATGGCACAGGCAAAGAAGGCAAAGACATCTTAAAGAAGGATGTGATGGACATTTTAAGGTAAGAACTAGTCTGGTACCATCGTCAAGAAGGTCCGGGTTGGGGCTGGCAGAAGAGCAAGAGTGAGTAGGTAAAACAGTCTTGAGTCAGGTCCAGGAGAAGTAAAGTGCAGTAAGAGGCAAAGCCATTAAGAAATGGTTAGAAAGTGCAAAAGAGATACAAGAGAGGTTCCAAGCTGCTGCTATTAGCAGCGGGGAAAAGGGAACTGAGGCTCTGCCTCCACCAACTGGCATTTACACAGTAGGGAGATAGGGCAGGGCCTTGGACAAAATGTTTCAATCTAGAGATCCAGAAGGTTCCAAACTACCACGCGTGCGCGGATAACCCATACGTGCAATTTCATAGACACCATGAAGAAAAAATCACTCTCTCAAAGCCACTCTTATGACATGTCCTAAATAAATGTATAACATGATGGCAATAGTGCATACTGGGCAAGAAAAGGACCAAGAGAATGAAGTCATGTCTTTTCATTACTGTGTCATGAGAATCTGACCTGGGGGTTGCCTAAGTTGGGCAGCAGCCCCCATGCTTTATGGCACATCTATTCACATTATTTTGTTGCTGTGCTCGCAGGATAAGCATGTAGGATGGTGCCATCTCAACTTTTAGCACCAAACAGATGACCAAGAAGAAAGTGTAGAAAAGGAGCTGATAAGTAGGGGGGAAGTGGATTAAAAGTGACATGTGCATAGCCTGAATTACTATTAGAACCAGTATCTTCATAATGAA